CTTCATCCATGAAAAGGTCCTCAGTTATCTCTTCCTCTTCAATCAGATCAGCATCTTATTGGTTGTAACAACTGTCAGTCCCATCAATGTCCAGAAGGTCAAGCAGTGATGGGGGCAAGATAGGGCCTATTGACCATACAGGCTCAATCACCCCATCTTCTGTTTTCAGCCACCCTTGTCCTTCGTCATATGGGTTTGGACGCTCAACGACAGGCTCAGCAGCACGCTTGTAGCAGGCCACACGGTGGTTGACTTGCTGTAAATGAGGGATGAGTGAGTCCTGGCAAGGAGGCAAGCAAACTTGGAGCTTGCTCCTCACCACATTGATGCTTTCAAGTCAACAATACAATACAACAGTATCATGTTCACATTGAAGTGCTGTTTCAAATTAATTATAGTAGTAATCATATTGTATATATACATATATCATAACATAGTGCATCATGGTTGCCTTGTGCGTCTTGGCAAAGAACCCATCTGGAGTGCCAAGGCAGTGAGGTACAGGTGAGAGACAGTATTGCATCAGCTCATCCAAGTCAATCGGGAAACTGTGACGTAAACAGTAGTGTGAAGGCCAGGTTACTCTTGGTACTGGATTAGCTGCGACAATAAAAAGAACTTAAAATACACAAACATATTTTTTTTAGCACATTTTATACCACTATACCCCATAGACAACTAAAAATGAAAGACACAGTATTTAGTTTTATATATTATCTTGTTCTTTTGTTCAAAATAACACCAATTCAAGACAGAAATGCATTGCAAATTATTAGATGTACATGATTCAGGCTAGTAAGAATGTAAACTGATTGATATACTAGTTATTCACCTTTCCTTGCTAGCATGTTCCATAGTCAGTAGCTTCTGGCGTTTGATGGGATTAAAGAAGTCCTTCTCCTGATTCTCAAGTCTCTGCCAAATAAAAGTTTTCCTGCTCACCCAGTGCATTAGCACGCATCACATCTACCTCCACCTCAAATGAAACAGGTGCACCAGAATGCAATGCATGGAGCCTGTCATACACTGGGTCTTCAGGGACTGGTATTCTGAAGGGATTCAGGAAGCTTAGTATTGCAGCCTCAGTTTGCTTCACTGCCTCTTCACTCTTCTTGATGTTAGCCTTCTCCAGGTCCTGGTGCTTGCCAGCATGTGGGCATTCAGAATCATCCACCATGTCACACATCTCCAACAACTTCTCAAAGTACTGGGCACGGGTTGATGTAGTGCGGCACCAGCACTGGTATGACCCAAACTTCTGGAAGATACCAAGGAGACCACCTGCAAATTTGACAGAACATCATTATTCATAACAAGTTGTTGCCTGTAATTAGTAGTAAATTTTACACATAATACTACTCTTCAGATTTACCTGAGGACTTGGCAAACTTCATGAATGTTTCCTCCATTGTCTTGTCCACTGCACACAGTGATCCTGGGATGAGAGACCTAGCAACAGCAATGGCTCCACTGTAAATGAGCTCCATGGCATTGGGATGACTGAGCTCCAAGTTGGTCATGAAAGCCTCAAACCATGACAGGTACATGTGGATGAAATTTAGTGGATGTAAACTATTACTACATTTTTTTTCAGAATCAAATTATCAAAACAAAAATCATTAAGTACATGGAGTAGTTAGGTCCGTCATATGCAGGTTGGCCATCTTCCGATTGCACACATGGAAGAGCGTCCTATTGTTTGTTTTCACAGCATTTATGAGCATGAGGACTAGCCGCTGATGGTCCATGACCGACAGCCAGAAGACTGCAGTCTTCCCAAGGTGCCCTTTACGAACTTTGTCCTGGTAATCTAGGTACTGCTGGGTTATGCCAAGTGTTGAGGCATCCTGTAAAACAAGACTGAGGTTCTGGGGTGTGCAGGACTTGATGATGTTGAAGATAGCTGCAGGAGAGAGCTGGATGTGCATCTCCTCAATGAAAACCTCAAGCAGCAACCTCACTAGTGCCTCACAAACAGTCTTTAGGCAGTCTTCAGACAACCACTGGTCACCAATTGTGCCTCCAACAGAACATAAGCATACCCTGAACCTCTGCACTTGTGGTTGGTGATCATACCAATGTAATTCATGGATGTGTGAAAGGGTTCAAGGAGGATAACATGGTCCTTGAACTTGTCAGGATATTTCCACACCAGTGGGAGTGCCTTCATACAGACACCAAGATCAAAGGTATTGATGATGTACTTCTGACCCACTTCTCGTGTAGCCTCCTCTGATCTCAGTAGTAGCTCTTGCACTGGTCTCATACTGGATGATGGGCTGGTTAATAGTCAATGGTAGATTTTCTATCTGGTTTCATACCAGTTCATGAGAAGAAGCCACCA